TCTACATCATTGATGAAGATATTGAACAGTATGGGTCCCAAAACAGACCCTTGCGGAACTCCACTTGTTATCCCTTTCCAGCAGGATTTAGCACCGTGAACAACTCTCTGACTACGGTTATCCAGCCAATTATGCACCCACCTTATCGTGGCCCTATCTAAGTTATATTTGCCTAGTTTATCAATAAGAATATCATGCGAGACCGTATCAAATGCCTTACTAAAGGTATATGACATCCACCGCTTCTCCCTTATCCACAAGGCTCGTTATCCTATCCTCCTACTATTATTATTTATTTGTTGATATAAAGTTTACACTTTAGGGGTATGTCTAAACTACAAAGTTAATTCGAACTAACGGACGTTAGTTCAAATTAACTTTGATAGGCGCTACTCTAGCGCTCCGCTAGTTCGAACTTAATTTGAACTAGCGGAGCGCTTAGTTCGAACTAGGTAAATCGTTTTTTTATTTGCATTCTTCAGGTCCTTTCCACACATGTACACAAGGAGAGTTACCAGTTAAAAGAAAAGTGAGCAGTGCAGATGACGGCATGACCACCATGAAGGGAAACGGTCTGATTGTGTTGCTGGTTGCAAGTTTGGGAGGCTTCGGAATCTTAGTGGCAGGGGAAACAGAAGATTCCCAGTGCCAGCGAGCTGAGCACCCTGTTATAATGTTTAAAGGTAAGGCATATTTCCCCTTTTCTTCTAAACTAGTTTTCCAAAAAAGGGATAAGTGCCATATAAGCCCTTTACTTCTGGAATTGGTTTATATCACACATTGGCAACACGTGAAAATTAATTTAGTGACCTGTGCTTACTTGCCTATTGATATTAGTCTGTATTTCAGAAATCAACAGAGTTTGATTGATTGTATTTCTGGCAATTTCAGCACAGAAGAGTCCCAGGTCTGGAACAATAGCAGCATTATAGGTTGGCAAGGATTAAAGTGCATTGGCAGAGCTCTGTGTTGAAATTTGCCTGGCCCAGTGCCAGTTAATCAGTTAACTGGGTAAGCATGCCGGTAAGGCAATGCTTACCGTGTATCTGGTTAACCCTTTACATCCGTCCTTCTGTCTCTGCTGTCTGGCAGCTCTTACAAGATACAGCCCTAAATCAGAGTTAAAACAGAGGCAGAGAGCAGAAACAAGTTGAAATGTATCTTGGACAGGCTAATACAAATGATTTTATGAATACTGCTCACCGTTCCCCTCTAAAGGTACTCATAGGATTAGATCCCCCATTTTCATTTGTAATGAAAACATAAAATGGATGAATACAATATCTTCTATATATACTGTATTTTCTGTCCTTTTTGTTACCACTGCCAGGCCCACCAATGCACTACTAGCTAATGAAACAGCAATGGTGGCTGGAGTGCTGGGCCCTTTAAATCACCACCAGTGTGTGCCAAGCTGTGTGTTCCATGCAGCTCTGAGTGTGGCGAGAGTGGGGAAGGGGGGGGTCAGTCATTTTCTGCAAAGTCAAAACATCTGTTTTTATATATTTCAGCAAACCCAGTGTATTTTTGCATGTTGTTTAGTATTGACCCATCAAATTGTAAAGAATCTTTCCTGTGAGAATGAACTGGGAGATATTAAGAATGTATGGGATGCAGTAACTCCAAGTATGAACAATAAACACATGTGTTCACTTTTCTGGTATACTGAGATGATGTTGACAAGAAAATACAAGTCACGTTAATCACTCAAATACTAAGGATTGGAGTGTTTTTGTAAACAAAAAGGTAAACATTTTAAGGGGAACTGAGCCTTCTCCACTACAACCCAAATACTTTTTCTACTGTATCACCATACTATGTAAACTGGTCCATTTTAAAAATAAATAATATTTTAATATGTCAGACTGCTTTTTCGCTGAGGGATTTAAAAAAAGCACCCTTTACATGAAGTAGCACAGTGGGAGGTGTAAGCACAACCCTCGGCTAGCCTGAGTTG